GGGCGACCACGCATACCCAAAACTCTGCCCCTAACCTCAGCATTCCTTATCTGGTTTCTCCACCAGATTCGTGCAATGCTGCTTAGACAGCGGTGTTCAAACACTGACAGTCTATCTTTATCATGTTTCCTAATGGCTAAGTTTCTGCTCCATACAACAGAACTGGCCGAACTGTAACGGCACACACTCGACCCTTCACAAACAGCCGGATGTCGTGACAGCGCCATTGAAGGTCTCAAGTTGGCAAACGCCAACCGAGCCTTCTGTTTGCGAGCAGACACTTCATCCGTGATACGTCCACCGGGTGAGACGTAGCTGCCCAAATAACAAAACTTATCCACTTGCTCTATTACTGCCCCAGTTAGAGTGAAGCTGGTTGCTGGACCAACCCAGTTTTTTAGTAGCATTTTACCCTTTGAAGGTGAAAACCGCATGCCAAACATGGCTACACTGGCATTCAAGCTATCCAGAAAAGCTTGCTACTTACCTGCATCTTCACTTAGTAGCAAATTGTCGTTTGCATAGTCTAGGTCAAATAGTCTGCCACCTGGGAGTGAATCAATGCCACTATCCTCGCACGAGGATAAGGCTGTTTTCATCATCAGATCTATAACAAAGTTAAATAGAAAAGTGGAGAGAGGGCAACCGTGACGAACACCACTTTCCGTGTTGAGTACCTGTGGCGATGACGTGATGTGTCAGTAAACTTGAAAAATCGTGTATTCTACTCAACTGTGTGATCGGTTCTGCTTTACGGTTGAGACCTTGAATTTGCAGGTAGAAGACATCCGTCGCCTAGTGGTTTTCGACAATCGATGCTTACGTAGTCTGGCCCAAGTAGGATGGAGTGAGCGGGTTAGTAACTTAGAAGTCAGTCGTCGAGTGTTTGAGAAATGTATCGAAAAGACACCGAAACCGCATGGTTGGAGACACTGAAGGTCATGGCTGCGAACCGACAGCAATGGCGATCACGCTGTCACTTCTTATCTGACCAGAATGCTTGTAATAGTGTGTATGCACAGTTGGACTGTTTACTCTCTGTGTTGACCATAGCGATTTACTTTCTCTTTCCCTCCCTAGAAGTAAGTCCAATCCCTATTCTGCTTATATATACATATTACATATTATCCCTTTCATTGTATACAATATAAGTTTGGCAGGGATCAGTGAAGTTCGTTTTACCGTATTACGCTGTACAATGATGATGTGAATGATGATAATGCCCAATAAGCAATGATAACAAGAACGACAGTTGGGCATATGCAGCACGTGCCTTAGCACTTTGGTTACGAGCAGGATCAAACTTATTCTGCGGTGGTTTTCGCAGTCGTTGTGAGATCTCTTCTTAAAAATAGAAACGATCAGTGATTCGTCCCTAGATGAAGAATTGCACTCTTGTGTCCACATATTGGGGAGTAAGAGAGCAATAGAGTTTACGAGGTTATTAGCCTCCAACTTCAAAAGGTTTTGAAGGAGCCCGTCACGTTCTGCTACCTTTCCTCGCCTCGGTGCTTGAATGAATGACCGAAATTCTACTCCTGAGAGAGGATCGCACGTCACTCCCCACGGAGCTTCAGTTGTGGCTGAAGTAACCTGGCCATGCACCAGGCCAACAAACTGAAATAAAATCAAGTAAGCTATGCAAATGTCTACAAAAATAACCTGGACTCGGGCTTAGACTCAAAGCACAAACGATGGATCTCGTTGATCTGGGATGACCTGCTTGACGCCCACGTAACCTTTCCTTCTGATGCAACATATGACAGAGCAAATCTCTTAAATGTCAGTTCAGCAAGGTTTAGAGGAATGACCGCGAGAAGTGGGGGATGAGAAAGTGTAGAGAAATGGATTGAAAGCCAAAGGTAATCAAACCAAGACCTGGCATGAGGGTATAATAACCATGACTATGAATATCGGTCGTACTTGTTGCGTTAGGCTCCTTAGATAGGGACCTCGGGATCGTCGTAATCAATGATTAGAGACATTAATGTTCCTGAGTGTTTTAAACAGTGATGTACGTACATCTTCTCAGTTTCTTTGCAACCTTAGTCTACTGAAATTCTGCAGTTTATCTTCGACTATACTTTCAACTTTCCTAGTTCTATTTTACTACTTTCTCCAAATGGGCAGCCAAAAGACGGCAATCCTGTGAATATATAGTGGACAGTTCCCCATCTTCTAACACGAATTTCTGACCTTGGTGCTGTTGCAATTTTCATGAGAGCAAGAAGGAGCATCATGATCATTGAGGATGTGTTGAATTCAACTATTTCGGGATAATCTCATCAGGTGTATACATACATTCGGACCACGTTCGGTTAAAAGTGACAAGTTCGGGGGCAGGTGAACACAAACGGGGAAGAGAAATCAATCAATATGAAGGCCAAAGGTCACTAATGAGAACCGGATTAGGCATAGGGGCAGGGAGCGGAATCATTGCAGGGTGTGGGGGGGGGGAGGAAGAGGACAGTGACACCTACCAGGGCAGTGCGACGCTAGCCACAAATTCTGTCTGTTTACGTAAATCGAGCTTGTAACGTCGAATAGCAGCCGCATCCTGTGATCATGATGCTTATTCTGGCTGTTGCAGTTGTTTGCAAAGATCTAGAACAAGATCCGGTGATATGTTGACCATGGCTTTGATTTCAGCTGATCAAGGTATTGAACAATTGTGTTGGTATCATTTCGGATAGTTTATCATTTTCATTTGTCTTTTCTTCTTCAGAAAACAATACGTTCTAGTAATTCGATTTGTTTGCTGCACAATGCTTTTTTTATCGGTAAGCTCTGCCGGTATTCATCTTTATGATACACATTGTTGCTGGATTTCAGCCTTCGAAGCTTGGGGCTGTCGTTCGCCATGTGTAAGCAAAGACTACTACTACTAGTTAATGATACTGCTTCCGATCATCTAGGTGGACCCCATTCCGATCGAGTGCACTTTCCTCCGTATCGGGCACCCAGCTAAATACCATACGTGAGGTAAGTACAGTCCATTAACCATCAGTCAATAAATTCAGGGCGATGAAGTGCCGGAACGTGATGTCCTTTACCGAAAATTAGTGCTGATTGTAGCCGGTCATGAACCGGCTGTTTTGAAGAGCTACGAACAATTTGTGAAGACCGTCTGTGATGAATTTTCCCTAAACTGTCAAACGTACGTTCAATAGTTTTTGACTTAACTGACCCGCTTCTCATCCTAAAGCGAGACTCGCAACAGACCAGTGTTTGAACGACTTTCATTGAATAAATCACCGTTCATCTACAAAAAACATCAGCGTCAGTATGAGTTTCGTACTCATTATAAGTACTTCACCGTAAGTTCGAGTTTACTTTCCGGGGAAACAGGAAAACTTTAGATTAAAGAGATTACTGGATGCACTGCGGACGTCCTTCTGGAATATATTCAACGCAATTTGCCCGAAGGTGTCGCTATGCATACGATTCGGGTGAGTCCCTGATTCCCCCACTTCTTAATCGCAACAACTTTATTATTATTATTATTATTATTATTATTATTATTATTATTATTATTATTATTATTACCCCGACTGACCGGCAAACCGAAAATAATGGTCTTCTATCCGAAGACAGCTTTGAGTCGAATCCGGAACATTTGGAGATCCTTTAGTGCGATTGTCAGAGAGGATTCAAGAACGCAGTCCAGCTTGGCTATCAAAAGGGATCAATAAAAGTGCGACTAGTGCCATCCTAGCCCACGCACTCGACATGGGTCACGAACTGACACGTATGGGGGCATTCAAGGTCATCTACCGGGTAGTATATAACTGATCAAAAGGGGTGAGACAAAGAATTCTGTGCATAGCCGAAGCGACGGCGATCAGGCTAAACCAACCAATACTCTGCTCGCAAAAACAGTTTTTCAAGAACCTACTGCTGCCCTAACCTAAGGCCAGTAAGATCGAGAAGCAGACACACCAATTTGACTCATCCTGGACTGGTCCATCCGGACACAATCCCCAACATCAATCATCACAATAACTGTATAAGTACTTACACTACGGATTATCACGCTATGCTTTGTCTACATGTTCCATTGTGTACTGTATTAGCCTGATAAGAAGTACCAAAAAAAGATCTGTCTTCACCACTTTCAAACTTCATTGTTCAATCAATCTAATACGTCCTCGAACCATTATTCATCGATAAGATCATAGCTGCTATGTATTTCATTTCACCTGTTCGCCGAGCTTGGAAATTTGTTTGCAAACGTTTCATCACCAGCCGAGGTGACATCGTCGGTGCGTGTGAAGTGGTTACTTCAGAGGCATGGCTTGGCTCTTTGGACTAGTGGTCCAAATAAGTTTTTTTATCGGAGTTGTTACTTAGTCACACGGATTGGTGGTAGGTGAAATACCCGGAACCTGAACCGTTTCTCTCAATTTACCGACGGATAGAAATCTTCAGTAGTCCCAAAGTGGGGATCGGTTGTTTATCTTTCGTCAAGAAGTGATAGCCACTCATCATCATCATTGTACAGCGTAATACGGTAAAACGAACTTCACTGATCCCTGCCAAACTTATATTGTATACAATGAAAGGGATAATATGTAATATGTATATATAAGCAGAATAGGGATTGGACTTACTTCTAGGGAGGGAAAGAGAAAGTAAATCGCTATGGTCAACACAGAGAGTAAACAGTCCAACTGTGCATACACACTATTACAAGCATTCTGGTCAGATAAGAAGTGACAGCGTGATCGCCATTGCTGTCGGTTCGCAGCCATGACCTTCAGTGTCTCCAACCATGCGGTTTCGGTGTCTTTTCGATACATTTCTCAAACACTCGACGACTGACTTCTAAGTTACTAACCCGCTCACTCCATCCTACTTGGGCCAGACTACGTAAGCATCGATTGTCGAAAACCACTAGGCGACGGATGTCTTCNAGAGAGTAAACAGTCCAACTGTGCATACACACTATTACAAGCATTCTGGTCAGATAAGAAGTGACAGCGTGATCGCCATTGCTGTCGGTTCGCAGCCATGACCTTCAGTGTCTCCAACCATGCGGTTTCGGTGTCTTTTCGATACATTTCTCAAACACTCGACGACTGACTTCTAAGTTACTAACCCGCTCACTCCATCCTACTTGGGCCAGACTACGTAAGCATCGATTGTCGAAAACCACTAGGCGACGGATGTCTTCTACCTGCAAATTCAAGGTCTCAACCGTAAAGCAGAACCGATCACACAGTTGAGTAGAATACACGATTTTTCAAGTTTACTGACACATCACGTCATCGCCACAGGAGTTTCAATCCTGTCTACGCTGCTTCAGCCTTGGAAATGCGGGCGATTGTCTTCCTTGATGCGCTACCGCCGTTGGCGACGCAGCTACCTAAGTACGAGAATCAGTTAACTTCAGCTAATTCCTAACCGCCTAGTTTCAGCGCAGAACTCGGCGACACCCACTCTTATATGATCACTGCACTTTGAAGGTGCAAAGCATATGCCGAACGGAGCTACAGAACTTGCTGATCCGTCAAGTGCTCTTTGTGCCTCCTCCATACATCGATTGAAGGAGAATCACTACACCGGTTCACCAGCCTATCACCTTCTATATGCAAACCGATTAATCAACCAATTGAATTTATAATGTCTCCTTCACGTTGCACACCTCGGTCGCGATTTTTACTTTGTGCCTGTGGAAGACATTGGGGGTGCTAAGAAAAAGGTCCGGTGATGCTGTGGTTTGTATGGTCACGTTGTGAAACTCAAGTTTCATGTTCTTTTCCGTTCTCTTTTCAGCATCGAGTAGAACCTCTACCGGAACATATCCGGTCGAGTTCTTCCAGTCCTTCCAATCCGACAAGCCCCTGATCGCGCACCACTTCCTCCACTTTGTATAGAATATTGACCAATTAAACTGCTTATTTGATCACTCTCAAACAGCTTGTTTAACGATTCATGGGAAACTCAGTTTGTGTGGATACATGTGGGGAGTTGTAGATGATAGGGTTTTTCTTATTGTTTTATACAAACACTAAGCTGTTGCTTGGACGCATCTGTTTGCAAACATTGGATCACTGCTGGTTAGTCTAAACAAAAGTTAAGTCGTGAAACGTTGTGAGCATCCAGAGAGCGAATTAGACGACTTTTTACAGAGGGTATATCATTATCGTCATCGTCATCATCATCATCATGGTACAACGAGATATGTACATTGAAGTGAACTTCGCCAGTCGCCGCCAAGCCCACAGTGTACACAAATCAAGCGATCAAACACAAGGCGGAGAGGGATTGGGCCTAATTGGAGGGAGACAAAGAAAACTAAACCCCTGTGGTCAACACCCAGGGTGCACAATTTAAGCGTGCATACATACCGTTTCAAGCATTAATCTGATAAGAAATAACAAGAACGTCACCGCTGTCGGTTAGTTACCATATCCTTCAGTGTCTTCAACCAACCAGTTGCAGAGTCTTTCAGACCCCAATCTGGAAGACGGGAGGCACGTAATTTACCGATGTAAATGATGACTAAGAGACAAATGATTTCGATACTGTAGCACATGGAAAAATTCCAAATTAAGAGTCTTTCCTCAAGGTAGGCGACAATTTTCGTAGGATCAACCAAAAGACGGACCGGGTATGGAGTGACACCGTTTCGGTATCAGGAGGTACGCGCAGATTGGAGTTGATATTTGAAGCAGGTTCGGTGATTCGGTACAGCTTTAAGAATTTCGGGATACAGACATAGTCCTTGGTAACCAGTTATCCTGTCAATTTGCGGATCATATCGAACCAAAAATCAGCGAAATAGTTCTATCAATGGCACTAAATTGGAACCAAAAGTTAAAAAGATCTGGGGAGGTCGTGCATTCCTAATCTGATGTTCTTTACAGGTTGCTACGGCGAGCGATGTATGCCGATGCAGGTAGCTGTTGGAAAATGGTCAAGGGTGGTTAAACTAAGACCTGGCATTAGGGTATAAAAATCCCAGCCAGGTTTCGTTAGGCTCCCTGGATGGGAACCTCGAGATTATGGTAACCGGCGGTTAGAGATGCCGTATCGCAAACAGTGGCGCTCGTACTTTTACTCATTATTCTTTCAACCACGGTCTATATATTAATTCTATATCTTCCGCTTAAATTTGCTCTCAGCATTCCAATCTTCCTTCTGCTCTTTTATCCAAATGGGCGGCCAAAAGCGGTGCACGAAAGTGCATGGTTAATGATGGTGAAAACTAAATTTGATGTTCTTGAAGCACGTTTGTGCTTTCATCAATTCCCAGTATTCTAGATAAATGTGCATCATTGTTTCCATTCTTTTATCGCAGCATGATACAGTGCTTCATTTAGTGAGTTTCTTACGGGTAGTTATTACTAACAGCATCGGATAGTCTCCTTTGTATTACTTACTATTACTTATTACTTAGGTCGCTCACTAGTGCAGTGGTTTCACACCTAGTTGAAACAAATCACACTGTGAATGTAACCGAGGCATTCCGTCCCCTGTATCGGGTTCGTGGTCGATTATCAAGACAGGTTCGCTGTCGTATGCTAGCCACAGCGGCAGGAATTCGGCTGCACAACCCCCCCTCTGTGTGCCCAAAAGCAAGTTGTGCAGGCGCTTAAGCTCCCCTACACACCCCATATTCCGAGTTGTCCCAACGATCGGATGACCTAACAATTATGTGATCATTGAGAATTCCACATCCGGTCCCAAGATGAACTTAGCCCCAAACAACCCATGAGGTTATTTTCTCTTTCCCAAAACATTTGTTTGCGTTTTTATGGTTGAATACTGGTTTATATGTAAACAGCGTAACGTTTATTGTGATGTATTTGGATGACTACGAATCACTGAAAATGAGCTTGTTCGCCACTCCTTGTTCTATTGGAAATATGCTGTGTGGGACTGTTTAGATAATTGCCCTGTATAAGTTCAATTCAGGTCATTGTTTCTAGTGTTCTGAAACACTAAGTTGGAAGTTAATCAAGGAAATTCAATCCTAAATACTGTAGATAATTCGTATATCTGACAACTGTTAGAAGGCACCGATGAAAACATTGCAGTCTGTCATACTTACAGATCCGAATGACGTTCGGAGTGTATCGAAAAATCGGTGCGCCTTGTGATATGTTTTCTAAGTTGTAATTGTGAAAACAGCGATGTCGGCACGGGTGAAAATAAGCCGACGTTTCGCTTACTGTGGGTAAACTTTATCAAGGCGATTTTATAATCGAGTGAGTCAGGAACAGTTTGCCAACTAAACTCCCACGCTCTGTGTGTGTATGTGTGTGTGCGTTTGCGTGTAGGTTCGTGTCCGTGTGTGTTTGAACGTCACCGATCCGGATCGGGCGTTGGGCACATGCGTTTATGCAGTGTTTGTCTGTGGGATCGGGGTTATCTGAGGTCAAATCTGCGTTAGGACGAGTGCTGGCAAGTGACGTTAACGCTATCCAGAGGCTCGAAACCCCTGCCCCGTCGTTTC